GATCATCCAAGCAGAAAATCAATAAGAAAAAATCAACCTTGGATGACACATTAGACCAAACGAACATAATTGACATTTACAGAGCCTTTCACCCCCGACAGCAGATTATATATTCTTCTCCAGCGCACATGGAACATCCTCAAGCACTGACCATATGTCAGACCATAAAACTAGCCTCAACAAATTCAAGAAAATTGAAATTATACCAAACAAATTCTCTGACCACAATGCTTTGAAATTAGAAATCAACTGCAAAAAGGAAGTAAAGAAACCCACAGATATGTGGAGCTTAAACAACATACTACTGAAAAATGGGTCAAAGAAGAAATAAAAGGTGAGATCAAAAGACACACAGAGACATATCAAAACTTCTGAGATGCAGCAAAAAACAGTAACAGAAGAGAAGTTATATCATTACAGGCCTATCTCAAGAAACAAAAGTAAACAACCTAACATTACATCTTAAAGAACTAGAAAAAGAAGTCCCGGCCGGTGTTGCTCAGTGGTTGAGCATCGACCTATGAACCAGGAGGTCATAGTTCTATTCCCGGTCAGGGCACATGCTCGGGTTGTGGGCTCAATCCCCAGTAGGGGGCATGCAGGAGACAGCTGATCTGATGAATACAGATGCAAAAATTCTAAACAAAATGCTAGCAAATCGAATACAACAATACATTAAAAAAATAATACATCATGATCCAGTGGGGGTCATTACAGGGGCACAAGGATGGCTCAATATATGCAAATCAATCAATGCAATACAACACATTAACAAAACAAAGGATAAAAATCACATGATCTTATCAATAGTTGCAGATCTAATTTCTAAAAAATGGCATTGAGGGTCTTTTTGTTTGTTTTTTGGTCCTTGTTTTTTTTTTGGATCGGCACGGCGAATTTACTCCTGCGCAGAAGGGTGCTGTTGCCAGCTGGAAATCATGGGCACATGGGCAAAGCACACCAAACGGGAAGTCCGTTCGGGTTTTATTTCCTGACGCGGGTCTGCCCAGCATAAGGTTTTTTTTTTAAAGTTTTATTTTATACCAGAGTTGTAACTTACAGGGATTTTATTTCACAACATAGATGCCAATATTTTTATAGTTTCAAATCAAGGTAACATAGCATCCTCCCCCTGGATCGCTGCAGAAGGTTTCTAAACTTCTTTTTGGGGATCCACTTTTGTCTACTGACAATCTGTCTTCATACAATCAAAGTTTTGTCTCAAACACAACTGATGCTGTCATTTTGCTTAAAATCCTTCCGTGGCATCCATAGGCCCAAAGCCTTCGCCTGGCCACAGGCCCTGAGCTCCAGCCTGCCTGCTGCTTGGCCTCACCCCTTCCTGGCCTCCCGTGTCCCTGCCTCCTGGGCTCTCCCTCAGTTTCTAGAATGTGCCCCCTTGCCATCCTTCTCAGAGCCTTTGCACCTACTGTCCTCTCTGCCCTAGAGGCAAATACTTGCATCTATGCATGTCCAAGGATGTAAAGAAAATAAAGCAAAAATCCTGGATCCAAACCAACTATCATTACTGCAGTGGTTCTCAACCTTCCTAATGCCGCGGCCCTTTAATACAGTCCCTCATGTTGTGGTGACCCCCAACCATACAATTATTTTCGTTGCTACTTCATAACTGCAATGTTGCTACTGTTATGAATCGTCATGTAAATATCTGATATGCAGGATGTATTTTCATTGTTACAAATTGAAGCATAGTGATTAATCACAAAAACAATATGTATTATATATGTGTTTTCCGACGGTCTTAGGCGCCCCCTGTGAAAGGGGTCACGACCCACAGGTTGAGATCCGCTGCCTTACTGACTTTAATATCATGAAAGAAGCACGGAGGGGTTTACAAAGGCTTGCACTTCTTCGTACACGTTTTTCACTCACCCCTGCGTTGGGATGTGTTCCCAATGGTGACAATGAACTATCAGAAGTTCATACGGGAAAGTTCAAGTAAAAAAAAAAGTTTTTGCTTGGAAACAAATGACAGTTATGAACAAGTTACCTGCAACTGTTTGCTCATGAGCTCTCAGTGTGCAGAGACTCGTGACCTTGGTTCTGCCTCTACTGAAACGCTCTGGCAACACTCGTCGCCGGGAGCTCTTCCAGATCAGCAGCATCCTCTGCTCTGAGTGGTCACCTCATCTTGTCACTCAGGACGCTTACCAAGGACCTGTCTTTCTCCCCACCATCCCCTTAATGGACTCTGATTAATTTCATGCCAATGGCCACAGAACATGCTGCTGGCTTTTCACAAAAGAGTGTTGAGAGAATATGCTCTCTACTTGGGAAGAAATTAAGTTAGAGTCCTACTGTTCACAAAAATATTCCAGATGGATTAAGGCTCTAAAACATTTAAAAATGTCAATTATGAACACATTAGAAAAATATATAGGGGACTATGTTTATAACCTTGGAGAAAGAAGGCCTTCTTAAATCAGACACAACAAAACAGTCCTGCAGAGGGAAATTATTTATGATGCCTTTGATGTAGTCCAATTGCCCAAAGTTAAAAGACAAGGCCAGGCTTAGAGAAAATATTTGCCACAGAACAAAGGATTAGTATTCTGGAAAAAAAAAAACACCAAAAAAGTATAAATCAATAAAGAAAAGACATTTAAAAAAAAACTGAGCAAAGGATATTAATTAAGAGGCAATTCATAGAAAAGAATAAAAATACCTCAAACATATATGCAGAGCTGCCTAGTAAAGAAAAACAATCAAAGTAGTAAGAATTTTTCTTTAATAGATTGGCAACACGTTTAAAGATCAATTTTATAAAGTGTTGCAAGTGTGTGCCATGTAGCAGACACCCTGCTGGCGAACAATTCGACAGTCTTCTGCCTATGACAGTGATGGCGAACCTTTTGAGCTCGGCGTGTCAGCATTTTGAAAAACCCTAACTTAACTCTGGTGCCGTGTCACATATAGAAATTTTTTGATATTTGCAACCATAGTAAAACAGAGACTTATATTTTTTATTTTTATTTTATATATTTAAATGCCATTTAACAAATAAAAATCAACCAAAAAAATGAGTTCACATGTCACGTCTGACACGCGTGTCATAGGTTCGCCATCACTCTATGACAACCCCTATGGTCACTCTAACCATTCTGATTGTCTCTAGTGAAGAGAAAAACCTGTCCTCTCCTGTATTCAGGATGCTGCTACCCTGGAAGTTCTGGCTATCACAGTCTTGTTATAACACTAGCCATATCAGGTATCAAAGTGAGTTATAAAACAGTCCACTGGGGAAATCTGCCAAAGGGAGATAAAAACCCGGATTTGTATGTCTCTCCCACAGTGAGTCGCGAGAAAGCTCTGAGAAGGGGTTTTTGGAAAGAGCTGCTGTGAGACCCCGACATAGCCCCCTCTCCTCTTTGGGTGATGGGTAGGAATATCACCTTCTTGCCTCAGAGGAGGGTTTTTGGTGAGACCAGTTGGGGAGTTTCACAGGAGTCCTTGAGAGCAGGTGTCGGACTCCTGCCCGTAGAATCCAGAACACAGAGGCAAGCTGCCCTGGGGAGCAGGGAGTGGAGCTTCGTGGTGGCTGCACTGGGACTGGCTCATGTTGGCAGCATCTGTGGAGAAAAGAGTGGGAGATGCCTCCTGGGCTGGGGGTGGTCCACAGGCAAGAATGAGCCAGTGCAGGGCTTGTCTTATGTCTATGCTTCTGGTGCTGACCGGAGGGGGCAACATGACCTGAGCAGGCAGACTTGGAGGTGGACCACTGGGCTCCCAGGGGTGAGAGGGAGCAAGGGATGAGGGCCTTTGAAGAGCACCTCTGGAGGGAGTCAGCTTTAACACTCCACCAGGTCTAGAGAACAAAGGCCGTCTTACCATAGTATCAGTCACAGGCATTTCCCTGTCCCCTCTGCCATCTTCCCACCCCATCCGCAGGAAAGCATGGCAAAAGAATGATGCCAACCTGTGTTTTCCAAGATGAATTAACTAAAGAGAACACAACTTTTGTTCCAATCTAGATGGTACAACTAGTTTATATTAAGAAATACACTTCATGGACATTTATGTACATAAATACACACTAAATGATGAGAAAGACAAGAACTTATAAGAATGATTACCTCTATAAAGGGGAATAGTATTGAGGGCGGCCAGTGTCAAATAGGAATTCAATTCACCCATATTATTTGAAAAGACAAGAACACATTCATGTATTTCTTGGATAATTAAATGCATTAAAAAGAAG